CGAGGGTCTCGGCGGGCCCGGACGCGCGCCCTGCTCTTGCTCTGTCCTGCGGCGGGCGCGCAGACTTCTCGGGGCCTTGCCCTTTTCGCCCCGCGGATGCGCAGGCATCCGGGCGCGCATATTCTTGACCGCTGCCCCGCGGCGAGGCCGAACAGGCCACTGCGGCCGCGGGCGCGGTCCTTTTCGGCCCGCTGCTATATGGCATGCTGCCCTCTCGACGCACAATTTTGTGCCACGTGTTTCCGCTTGGGCGTGTGGCCCGCCCCGAAAGGGGACGCGGGCGCGGCCGCCTGGGAGTTTGCTACGTGGGCCCCATCCTCCGGGGTTGAGCGCCGGGGATGGGGAAATGGACACCGAAAGTCAATGGACCAGGTGGCCCCTGAACTCGGCGCGGTGGAAAAGAGCGGGCGCCGGGTGGATGCGCCTGCATACCTCGCCTGCGTTGGGGAGACGCCCTCATTGCATGACGCCCGTTCGTTCCCACACGCCTGGGCCCGCACGATGCGCCTTGGTCGTCCTTCGGGACTCCCGGTTACTGGAGCTGACCTTGCTTTCCCCTGCATCTCCTTCTCCCCGACCCCCCCTGTAGAATTGAACAATATAGATACTATTCTCCTCTCTCCCCGATAGCGTCGGGGAAATGGCCGGCCCACCTCAGAGTACCGAGTACAGCGCTTCGTGGCCCCATAGTTGTCTCCACCGAAGGCGTCAGTGCCACCGCCCGCATGCGTCACCCACACTCATTTCGTCACACCCCTCACGCGTTTCGTGGCACCATAGGGAGCTCCACCGAAGGCGCCAGTGCCACCGCCCACCCACACCCATCTCGTCACACCCCTCACACGTTTCGTGGCCCCATAGGGAGGGAGCTCCACCGAAGACCGCAGTGCCACCGCCCGCATGCGTCAGCCCATACCAATTTCGGCACACCCGTCACACGTTTCGTGGCCCCATAGGGAGCTCCACCGAATGCGGCAGTGCCACCGCCCGCATGCGTCACCCACACCCATTTCGGCACACCTTTCACATGTTTTTTTCGCCGCATAGGGAACTCCAAGGAAGGCTCTGGTGGCACCGCCCGCATTCCGGCATACCCCTCACGCGTTTCGTGGCCCCATAAGGAGCTCCACCGAAGGCGCCAGTGCCACCGCCCGCATGCGTCACCCACACCCATGTCGGCACACCCGTCACACGTTCCGTGGCCCCATCGGAAGCTCCACCGAGGGCCCAAGTGCCACCGCCCGCATGCGTCACCCACGCACATTCTGGCACACCCCTCACGCGCTTCGTGGCCCCATTGGGAGCTTGACCGAGGGCCACAGTACCACCGCCCGCATGCGTCACCCACGCCCATTCCAGCACATCCCTCACGCGTTTCGTGGCCCCATAGGGAGCTCCACCGAAGGCGCCAGTGCCACCGCCCGCATGCATCACCCACATCCGTTTCGTCACACCCCTCACACGTTTCGTGTCCCCATAGGGAGGGAGCTCCACCGAAGGCCGCAGTGCCACCGCCCGCATGCGTCACCCACGCACGTTCCGGCACACCCCTGACGCGCTTCGTGGCCCCATAGGGAGCTCCACCGAAGGCGCCAGTGGCTGCGTTATGCGCCCACCGCAAACATTTCGGCACGACCCCAGTGGCTCCTTTGTCATCCGCCCACCGCACCTATTTTGGCACACCCCTCACACGTTTCGTGGCCCAAGACGGAGCTCCTCCGAATGCGGTGCATATAACGACGGTGCTCACAACTGCATGTGGTTGGGTCCTTCGCCAGGCTAATGTTCGAGATGCTGCTCTCGCTGAAGCGCTGGCCTCATGTTTGGGGTACTGCTCGTTCCGAATGTTGTTCCCGCTGCAGCGCTGGCCACATTTCCGAGCTTCCGCTCGTTCCTAATCGTGCCTCCGCTGCAGCGATGGTGTCATCATTTCCAGCATCATGCCACGGCATGGCTTGTCGGTCTTTCCAAATCGGCCCCAAAATCTAGAAAATGCTCTCCGAAAAACCATCGGAAGTGATTACACATTCGGTGCCGATTCATTGCCTTTTTGGGCCGCAGAAGCACCCCCCCCTCTTTGGGGCGTCGCGCGTCGCCACGCCATGCTATGTCAGGCTGCGCGTCCTCATTTCCGCGCTTCCGCGCTTGGGCTCGTGTTCAAAATTCTGTTCGCGCTGAAGCGTTGGCCTCATTTTCGGGCTTCTGCTCGTTCCGAACCGTGCTCCAGCTGCAGCGCTGGCCACATTTCCGCGCTTCCGCTCGTTCCAATCGTGCTCCCGCTGCAGCGCTGGCGTCATTAGTTCCAGCGCCATGCCACGGCATGGTGTTCGGTCCTTCCAAATGGCTTCAAAATGTAGAAAATGCCGCCCCCTCGAAAAAGCAATCGGAAGTGGTTCCACATTCGGTGTCGATTCGTTGACGTTTTGGGCCGCAGAAGTCCCCACTTTGGGGCGTCGCCACGCCATGCTATGTCATGCTACGCGTTGAACTTCAGCACCATACTATGCCATGTAATGCTATGTCATGCTGCGGCATTAAAGAGGAGATCTACGCAATGGTAAGGGATGGTAGGGAGGGGTAGGACACCAGATATGGCGCGGGCGCACCTAGCTTGTCCTTTTCCCTTTCACCACACCCCTCCGCCACTCTCTTCCGCACCCGCTTTCCGCCACTCCACAACACACTCGCACCCTCTCTTTCTCCCGCTCTCCCCCATGCCCCATCCCCCCCCTTCGCTCATGCAGTATTTTCCCTCGCTCCCCACTCCCCCGTCGTGCACTCCATTCTCGAGGGTTGAGCGCGGTGGGGGAACGAAACATCGGTCGACGGAGGTTCGCGGCCAAGAGCAGTTTACAACCTGACGTGCGTCAAGTGAACACACCCATTCTGAGAGTTCAGGAGCGGCAGAGAAATCCGCGTAGAGTGGAAGAGGTGGCCGACCCGTTCCGTGGAAGAAGATACGTCGCTGCGCCGTTTGTTCTGACGTGCGGCCGCACGCGTTGGGGAGGAAGCCTCGCCCGCCAGGGCCAACGCCACCTCGGTGCCAGCTGCGTCCACTTGGGGCGTGGGACGCAAGGTTAGCAGGTTTGCCGTGGTGCTGGCGTCGTCTGCTTGGGCGCGGGCCGCAGGGCTAGCTGTTGGTTTGCCGTTGTGGCGGCGTCGTCCACATGGGCGCGTCGAGAACAAACCGCGCGGCGAGACGTCAGCAGTGACGGTATCGGGAACTGGTCGCAGGATCAGGTGGCACACGAGCTGGAGCTTGCCGCCTGCATATTCACAGCTCACCTGGAGAAAGAACGCGCACTGTACAGTTGGCACGTGAAGCGGGACACCGCCGTGCCGGCAGGTGCCCCGCGCAATTTCGTATCCCCCGACGGCTACAGGGACATACAGAATCTCTGGGGCACCTTTGGACCTCCCGCGACCGAGGATTTAAGGTGTCCCAGCATGTCATACAGCAAGATGTCTTATCGTGCTTGTCTACTGCATGCCCCCCCATGGCCCATGCCCTGAGGTGGGGGGAGGCGGAGGAGCTCGCGCAGAACACGAGACAGAGTCTGCACGCTCCTCGGAAGCCTCTGGAGGCCCCTAAGGTCCAAGGTCCAAGGCCTCCAAGTCCCTCACCACCCAAGGGCGGGTAACACCAAAGCATCGCCTGGCTATGGGTTGCTTTTGATGGGGCATTAAAGATTGCCTGGCTATGCCTTCCTCGTCGTCATGAGGTGACTCGGAGGGGGCAGCCAGCTTGCCCCGGCGTCGCTTTCTGCATCAAGATGTTGGTCACGATGTCTACAAACCTTGTGGCTGTGTGGTACGAGCGTCCTGATCGTCTGGCCTGTGGTGTCAGAACGTACCGTATTTGGCCCCGCCGTTTTTCCTTGCTGGGCGAGCCCCCCGAGCCATTTCTGGTTTCTTTGACGTCAGACCGCCCTTGATCCTTGTCGTCTCTTGCGTTCCTCGAGGCCGGTGTCGTCTCTTGCGTTCCTCGATTCGGGCTCATCGAGCCTCGAGCCTCGATCCTCGAGTGTGGTCGAGGGCGACGCTCGATGCACCGGTCTGCGCTGCGCAAGCCCTTGCGGCCCATGGAGACGCCTGCGTTGCGCCCTCCCTCCCCCCTCCTCCCCCCTGTTCCCTGCTCCCTCACCTCCTCCCCTGCCCTCCTCCCTCCCGTCCTCCCCCTCCTCCTCCTCCTCCTCCTCCTCCTCCTCCTCCTCCTCCTCCTACCTCCCTTCCTCCCTCGTTCCCTTCTCTCGCTTCCCAGCGCGCGACGGCTTCTGATCGAAGGTGGGGGAGGAGGAGAAGGAGAAGAAGGAGCAGGAGGAGGAGGAGGAGGAAGAGGACGAAGAAGGGAAATCAGGAGAAGGAGGAGGAATAGGACGAGGAGGAAAGGGGGACGGGGAGGCGGAGGAGGAAATGGAGGAGGAGGAATAATTCGATGATGATGATGATGATGATGATGATGGTGATGATGATGATGATGATGATGATGATGCTGGCGATGATGATACTGATACTGATACTGATACTGATGATGATCACACCTATGCTGATACTGCTAATGATACTGGTGATGATGCTGATGATGAGGATGATGACGATGATGACGACGGTGCTGATCCTGATGCTGATGCTGATGATGACGATCAGTATGATAATGTTGTTGATGATGATTATGCTGATGCTGATGATAATGATGCTGATGATGATGCTGCTCATGATGATGATCTTGATGAAAAGACGACGACGACAACGACAACGACAACGACGATGATGATGATGCTGATGATGATGATGCTGCTGATGATGATGATCATGATGATGATGATGATGAGCATGATGATGATGATGATGATGATGATGATGATGATGATGATGATGAGGAGGAGGAGGAGGAGGAGGAGGAGGAGGAGGAGGAGGGACTGGAGGAAATGGAGGAGGACGATGACGACGACGAGCATGAACGTTGCGTGCCGTTCCTCCCCCGCCCGCCCCCCTCGTAGGCCGGGCGCCCCCGACGGCGGCTCCGCCAGCAGCTCCGCGGCAGCACCCGCCGCGCCGGGCGCGGGCAGCGCCGAGGCCGTCCGTGAGGCCCTGCGCTGCTGCGCCGCGCCCGTCGCCGCATCCAACATGGAGCCCACCCAGCACGGGGGGGGGTCCTCCTCGTGGCCTGCTCGCCCTCCTCCTCCCCCTCCTCCGCGTGGCCTGCTCGCCCTCCTCCTCCTCCTCCTGCTCCTCCTGCTCCTCATTGTCGTCGTCCTCCTCCTCCTCTCCTCATCCTCCTCCATTCCTCTCCTCTCCTCCTGCCTCCTCTCTCATCTCATCATCATCAATCTCATCATCATATCATATCAGCATGATCATCATCATCTCTCTCATTCTCCATCATTCATCATCTCATTCATCATCATCATGCAGCATATCTCATCATCATCCATCATAATCATCATCATCCTCATCATCTATCATCACCATTGTTCCTCCTCCTCCTCCTCTTCCTCCCACTCCGCCTCCCCTTCTTCTACCTCCTCCTCCCCCTCCTGCTCCTCTTCCTCTTCCTCCTCCCTCATCTCCTCCTGCTCTTCGCCCTCCTCGTAATCCGCCTCCTCCTGGCCCTCCTTCTCTACATACTCCTCCTCTTATCCTCGTCGTCCTCCTTCTCTTTCTCCCTCATCTCCTCCTACTCTTCGTCCTCCTCCTCCTCCTCCTCATCCTCCAGCTTTTCCTCCTCCTCCTCCTCCTCCTCCTCCTCCTCCTCCTCCTCCTCCTCCTCCTCCTCCTCCCCCTCCTCCTCCTCTTCCTCCTGCTCCTCCTCATCCTCATCGTACTCCTCCTCCTCCTCCTGCTCCTGCTCGTGCTCCTCCTCCTCCTCCTCCTCCTCCTGCTACTCCTCCGCTTCCTCCTCCTGCTCCTCCAACTTCTCCTGTCGATCATCATCATCATCATCATCATCATCAGCATCATCATCACCATCACCATCACCATCACCATCACCATCAGCATCATCAGCATCATCATCACCATCATCATCATCATCATCATCATCATCATCATCTTCATCATCATCATCATCATCATCATCATCATCATCATCATCATCATCATCATCTTTCTTCCTTCTCATCATGTCCCTCGGCGCCCTCGCCTGGCTCGGCTGTGGATGGGTCGAGGTTTCCGAGATTCGAGGCGCGAGGCCTTCACACGTTTTCATCGGTTCTGTAGTCGTTCCAGCCTCGCGACGCGCTCCAAGGCCTGCGTCTCGCCGAGGGCATTCCGAGGGTGCCGGGATTTTCGTCCCGAAGCCGCACGTAGACCCCGAAGGCTAGTTGTGACAGACCCGAAATCTCGTTTCTGTGCGTTGGACCGCCGTTCCTCTCGCGGCATGACGGCCCCAGGTTTTTTTTTTTTTTAGACAACCTCCGGATGGGCGCCCTCCGCGGGGCCCCTGGACTTTTTTTATTTTTTATATCCTTTTTGCTCTTCTTTTTTTTTGTTTTTGCCTCTTTTTTCTTTTTTTTTGTTTTTACTTTTTATTTTTTTTGTCAGAGAACAGGACGGGACGAATCAATTGTTTAGGGGCAGGGGGCTTGTACCTCTGGGGGTGGCTGTTGTGAAGAAGCGCTGCGCCGGAGATCTGGTGGTCCAGGCCTTCCAACTGTCAGGGGCAGCGTTAGAGGGGGGGAGCGGCGCAGGGGACGTGCCTCGCCCCCCCCCCCCCCCCGTCGCCTACTCCTCGCCGATGGGGCCCGACAGCCCATGCCGCCACGGATCCTGCGGAGTCGGGGGGCAGCCGGCCGATCCACTGGCGATGCACCGTCACCGGGGGGCCGATCCACTGGGGGGACGTTCCGCGGCGCGTCCTCCTGGCATGTCCCCCTGTCAATTGCTCTGGGGCAGCTGTTCTGTGTCCAGGCAGCTCGAGCTGAAGTTCCGGATCAGTTCGGTCAGGACTCGGATGCAAAGGAGGACTCGATCCACAACGCTATAGAGCAAAGTCAGCACATCGCAGTTCAGCACGGCGCACAATACCATAGCCCTCGGCACGGGACATCAAGATCGATATTTTCAGCATTGCTTTTGCCCGTCGCCGAATCAGGTGTCTTTGAAGCGTTGCCATGCGTTACATTTCTATATTCTTTTCTGGGTTCGAGGGTCGATCGTGTTTTATCTTGGGTCGTCTGTAGGCCCAGTAATGGGCCCCCGGAGGCCGAGAATGGAGAAACACCTCCCGGTCGTGATTTTGTTCGCGGCGCGAGGTGGTTTGGGCTCCGTCTCTATGTTTCGAGGCGCCGGAGGTCTGGGTAAAGGTATTCACAAGAGGGCGTGCCGAGACCGGTGCTCCCAGACAGCCGCCGCGCCCCCCCCCCCCCCCCCCAGGGCGCGCGCCGCGACGACCCCAGGGCTCCGAGGGCGCTGCGATCGTCAAAATATCGAGGCGCGATGTATAAACGAGGCGCAGGGCGCTCTGCATCGACTACGCACATGGGCGATGTATGGTCCGTTCGACGTCGATGCATCCTCTCCTGTGCCTACCCCTCGACGTATCACCACTTCGAGCCTCAGAGGTCTGGGACAGGTTTTTCTCCTCCTGAGCCGGTCTTTGTGACGGCCCCTGGGCCCGGTATACAAGGGTCCCCAGAGAGACCGAACAAATGGCGAACACTCTCCCGTCGTGATTTCTTCACAACGCGTTCGGTAGCAAATCGTGGGAGCCTCGTGTACCCTCGCAATTCTGTCTTCAGCGTCGACTCGCGTCGATTGTGGTCTGGGAGTCGCTAAGGTAGCACCGATTTGCGTCGGCTAGCCTCGATCAGCGTCGAGTTCGCGTCGATTTAGCGTCGATGTAGCGTCGATTAGCGTCGATTCGCAAGAGCGTCACAAGATGGCGGGAGGTCCCCACGAGTTGCCACCAGACAGAGCGAGGGGTCTCTGGGCATCGCCCCCCCCCCCCCCCCAAGGAGCTGGAGCACCGCGTGGCCGTCGGGGCCGCCGCCTCGGCTCCCGCGCCGCCGCTCGGCCGGCGAGCGGCGGCCCCAGATCCTCCACGGTTTTTCCCAACCATCCTGTGGTGTTGGGTCCTCGTTTTGAAGAGACGTCGCCCCGCGTTTCTCCTCCTCCTCCCTCCTCCTCCTCCTCCTCCTCCTCTCCTTTCATCCTCCCCCTCCTCCCCCTCCTCCCCGCGTTTCACCCACCCAGTACAGCGTTTCATGGCCCCATAGGGAGCTCCACTGAAGGCTCCAGTGGCTGCGTTCGCATGGCGGCCCCGCCCCATTTCGGCACACCCCTCACGAGGATCGTGGCCCCATAGGGAGCTCCACCGAAGGCCCCAGTGGCAGCGTTCGCATGGCGGCCCCTGGCCATTTCCGGCACACCCCTCACGAGATCCGTGGCCCCATAGGAGCTCACCACCCAAGGCCCCAGTGCAGCGTTCGCATGGCGGCCCCGCCCCATTCCGGCATACCCCTCCCGAGGATCGTGGCCCCACAGGGAGCTCCACCGAAGGCCCCAGTGGCCGCGTTCGCATGGCGGCCCGCCCCATTTTGGCGCACCCCTCACGAGGATCGTGGCCCCAAAGGGAGCTCCACCGAAGGCCCCCAGCGTGCACGCTTTCGCATGGCGGCCCCGCCCCATTTCGGCACACCCCTCACTAGGATCGTGGCCCCATAGGGAGCTCCACCGAAGGCCCCAGTGGCAGCGTTCGCATGGCGGCCTCCGGATATTTCGGCGCACCCCTCACGAGGATCGTGGCCCCAAAAGGGAGCTCCACCGAAGGCCCCAGTGGCTGCGTTCGCATGGTGGCGCCGCCCCATTTTGGCACACCCCTCACGAGGATCGTGGCCCCATAGGGAGCTCCACCGAAGGCCCAAGTGGCAGCGTTCGCATGGCGGCCCCGCCCCAGTTTGGCACACCCCTCAAGAGGATCGTGGCCCCATAGGGAGCTCCACCGAAGGCCCCAGTGGCAGCGTTCGCATGGCGGCACCGCCCCATTTCGGCGCACCCCTCACGAGGATCGTGGCCCCATAGGGAGCTCCACCGAAGGCCCCAGTGGCAGCGGTCGCATGGCAGCCCCGCCCCATTTCGGGGCACCCCTCACGAGGATCGTAGTCCCATAGGGAGCTCTACCGAGGCCCCATTGGCACGTTCGCAAGGCGGTCCTCTGGCCATTTCGTCGGCGCACCCCTCACGAGGATCGTGGCCCATAAGGAGCTCCACCGAAGGCCCCAGTGGCAGCGTTCGCATGGCGGCCCTGCACCATTGCGGCGCACATAAAAAACCCCTCACACGGATCGCAGGCCCCATAAGGGAGGCTCCACCGAAGGCCCCAGTGGCAGCGTTCGCATGGCGGCCCCGGGCCATTTCGGCACACCCCTCACGAGGATCGTGGCCCCATAGGGAGCTCCACCGAAGGCGCCAGTGGCAGCGTTCGCATGGTGGCCTCGGACCATTTCGGCACACCAACCACGAGGATCGTGGCCCCATAGGGAGCTCCACCGAAGGCTCCAGTGGCAGCGTTCGCATGGCGGCCCCGCCCCAGTTTGGCACACCCCTCACGAGGATCGTGGCCCCATAGGGAGCTCCACCGAAGGCCCCAGTGGCAGCGTTCGCATGGCGGCCCCGCCCCATTTCGGCACACCCCACACGAGGATCGTGCCCCATAAGGGAGCTCCACCGAAGGCCCCAGTGGCAGCGTTCGCATGGCGGCCTCGGGCCATTTCGGCACACCCCTCACGAGGATCGTGGCCCCATAGAGAATTCCTCTTGCTTCGTCCCACCTGCCCTGCGGTATTCACCTTTGCATATGGTTGGGGCCTTCGCCAGGATAATTTGTTGTTGGTGGCGGCGACGCGCCGTGCAGGGTGCGGCCTCCGACGCCGAGCACGGCGGACGAGCCAGAGATTTGAATATGGGATCGGCTACTCTACGGAGCCCAAACATCTACACCACCACCACCTCCCTCCCCTCTCCCTCCCCCAGGAACGAGGAGAGGAAGAAGAGGGTAGTGGAGGGAGGAGGAATCGACGTGGTGGTGGTGTGTTCAGAGTGAGAGGGCCGAACGGTCATTCATTGTCCCTGGGCGCGTGGCTGAATAAGGAATTCGTGGTGAAAGTTCTGCGTGTTGCGATGTTGTCGTTGTTGTTGTTGTTGTTGTTGCTGT